TTACATGATCAAAATGACAGTAAAAATATAAACAAGATCACGGCTGTTTGAAAGCTGTCCCTTGCATAGATCATCTCATGTAATTCCCCTAACTTTATGAAGTTAGATATACTTGCATCCTCATTAGATAGCAGAAGAAACTAGGATTTAGAGTTAATAAATACTTGCCTATTCTGTTTCTGAAATATATATTTTTCTTTTTTAAAAGATTTATTTTTATTTATTTATGCACATATGAATAGTTGACCAGAGGTGCAGGGAATGAGAGGATTCAACAGAGAAAGAGTGGGGAGTAGAGTAGGCAGAAGCACAGAAATACACTGCTAAACTCCAGAGCAGCCGGTGAAACAGAAGAGGTCTGCTGCGCCATGTGGGTCAGCTCCCTGGCCAGAGACCAAACTCAGGCTGCAGTGGCTGGCAATAGCTTGACAGCACTGAGACTTTAACCCCTGCACCACCAGGGAGGCCCTGAAATGGATATATTCCTAAAATGTTTGCAACTTGAGATATTTGTGCTATAATCTTCAGCTTGTTGATTTCTGATCGTCTTAATATGACAATAAAATATATGACCATAAATGCCATCAATGAAAATTATAAAATACCACTTAACTCAAACAAAGCCAATCTCTTATGAAACAAGCAGGATGGAGGGTACTCATGCATCTGGCTAGTAGAAAGCATCGGGGTCAATTCTTACTGTCCTTGTTTCCTCAGCAGGTCTGGGCCTTGGGGTTCATTTGGCCCTGTTACTAGGGTGAATCAGGCCACATCCAGCCAAAGAGGCATCTGAGTTCTGACTACTTCCCAAACTTTCAGAGATCAATTTCTGCGCCTTCCAGATTCAGGGGTCTAAACCTGGTCTTTCATAGCTTTCCTCATGACCAGTTTGAGCTTCTGGGGCTGCCTTACCTAGTACTGAGCTGACATTTGTATTTCAGTTTCCAAAAATGTTGCTGTTGTCTCTTTCCTTGTTTCTGTTTTTAAAGATTTAGTTATTAGCCATGCATACAGAATTGGGGTACAGGCCAGAGTTGTAGGAGCTGTGAAAAGATTCACAGAAACAGAGTGGGGAGCAGAACAGGCCAATATAGGAAGTATATACTGCTAAAGGAGCAGCAGGTGAGATAATCTGCTTGCCATGTGGCTCACCTCTGGGGCCAGGGATCTAACTCAGACTGAAGTGGCTGTGGCTGGCTTCAGTGCAGTGCATTAACTTAGTGCACCACCTGGAAGGGCCTCCTTGTTGAACCTTGTGAGCTTGTGTCATGACTTTCGAATCACCCTTAGTGGGATTTGGGAAGAGAATGGATACAAGGGCCAGAGTCAAATCCTCTTTACGTGGTATTGTCGCCTAGGGACCGGTCACAAAGCTTTTTGCACAGGCAACAAACTGCTTCCTGTTCTCTCAACTAAAAAGCCACATTAAGAAACTGCAGCCTTCCTTTCTCTACTTGAAATGATCTCAAAACAGAGATGAATGTCACTGTCTTCCGACTATCAGCTGAAGAAATTTGGTTTAAGAAAGAAAATAGCTGATCTGTTGCATTGAGGAAAACAGGGCAATTGCTTTATTTACCAGGGATTCTGTGGTAAACTTATGATATATTGAATAAGAACATTTGCCAGTGTAAAACAATGGCAACATCTACTAATTGCTCCAGGGCAAAGTTTCTACAACATAGAGAGCCTCACATTCTCTGGCCTAAATGTAATATGTTTTTCTTTTAAATTTTAGTTTTCAGAGTAAGTCAGAAAAGATAAAATGCTGATAATACCATAAGACTTTTGAAGGTTCAAGCATTCAAGTCTAGATTTAAATTATCAACTGGAAAATGCATTTTTACAAAATGGTATGTTTTGTATTATTTGAGTAAAATGTCACTTTGGGTAGTATGATGTCGTAACATAAAATAATATTTTAAGTATGTGCATTTAAAACAGCATTTAGTACCCAATGATATTTTCCTTTCATTATAAAATTGGAGGAAATATCTTCCAGAGAAACAAGTGCTTGGTAAGTACATTTTTATATTTACTGCTACTGTAATGTACTCTTCTACACAAAGCTGAAACTGAAGAATTTGGCATTAGACGCTCATTATATGTTGGAAACAAATTCAGCTACTCAGGACACAAAGGCACATTGATGGATATTTTTATTTTACTCTGCAGATACTGAAGACAAGCATCATTTCAGTTTTAAATTGCATCCCAAGGAAACACCCATGTTTTAATTTTGAAATGGGAAGAAGAAAAACAAGCATCCTGCAAAGTTCTTTAGCAGTAGGTTTTTACAGGTTACAAATAATAGTACACTTTACTGTTGAAAGAAATTTAACTGAAATATTGCAAGCATAACCTAGATATGAAGAATGAAGACACAGAATTGAGGGTGTAAAACTCCATTTTATAAAACACCAAAACAAAGCCTCACCTAGTTTTCATTTGGCAGAAAGCTTTGTAACACACAAAAATCCTTACTTAGGGGTTAGGATTTTTAAACACAGCAGCGGAATTAATATTCAACAATTTCCTTTCCAGGTATTAGTCCTTTACTACTGATATACCTTAAAATTAAAAACAATAGAGGTCCTCTCCAGTGGCGCAGGGAGTTAAAGTGCGGCCCTACAAACTAGCCACAGCTGCTTCAGTGCAGGTTCTTCAGTGCAGGTTTGATCTCGCCCTAGAAGACCCACATGGCCTGGCAGACCTCTCCTGACCCGCCCGCTGCTGCCCTCAGCAGTGTACTTCCTTGATCTGCCTGTTCTGCTCCCCACTCTGTCTCTGGTGAGTCCTCTCACCTTCCCTGAACATCTGGCCTGTACCCCAGTTCTGTATGCACAAATAAATAAATCTTAAAAAAAATGTTTAAATAATAGGATGAGATCACATTCTCTTACAAATCAATGTAAGTCAATCATATTGCAAGTTTTAGGGTTTTTTCTATTATTAATCAACTATTCTAATTTATTATTTATCATTTATTCTAGGAAGCAAGTGTAGAACTGGAGGTCAACGTTTCTGCACAGCACTGACTCACAGGCGCACTGTACTGCTTCAACTCCAAGGTAGCTCTAATCACACCATGAGAAAGAAAAGAATGCCCTGTCCCAAAGAAGACACACTACAGGCTGGGAAGTTCAGCTACAATCCCATATTCTTTGTAAGAGGGACAGGAAGACCAACAGTTGCAGACCCACAGTTCTGACAGGGTAATAGGAAGGCAGGTGAGAGCCTGAGTCACAGGGCTGTCCTAATTACTTAAGATTTCTGTGCCAAACTTTGGTGTTCCTTTCTTCTTCTTTTAAAAAAATATTTATTTATTTATGCACTGAGAACTGGGGTACAGGCCAGAGGTGCAGGGCGGTGATAGGATTCACCAGAGACAGAGTGAGGAGCCGAACAGGCAGATAGATGGACGAAGTACACTGCTGAGGGGAGCAGCAGGCGGGTCAGGAGAGGTCTGCTACGCCATGTGGGTCAGTCACCTCTGGGGCCAGGGATCGAACTCACACTGAAGTGGCTGTAACTAGCTTGCAGTGCTGCATCCTAACCTACTGTGCCACGAGGGAGGGCCCTGGTTTTCCTTTTCTTTTTACTCTAGCTGCACATCTCAAGGAAGGCACCACTGGCATGGAGGGAGGGGTGGGGGAGGGGGGAAGCCGTGCCTGTCTAGCAGCTCTGGTCCCCACCTACTAATGTCAGCGGAGGGAGCTGCCAAGTCAATGGACAACCAAACATCAAGTGCCCCTGGAGGTGAACCACACTATCATATCATATGAAAAAAACACCTCTTCTGCCTATTACTAAACAAGCTCTACTATCTCATTAAGCCCCATGGCAAGAACAATCTATATGACTCAAGTGTACATCTAGTCAAGCTTTTTCTGAAATTCAAATCATTTTTTCCTTTCAACAAGACATGTTCCCATATCCCTACAATCACTTCAAACTTGCCCCAAAACCAAATTTCTCATCTCCCTCACGAAACCCTCACCTGTTGCTTTATATCCTGCTTAACATATCACCTTCCAGAGTCAACCAAGGAGAAAACTGACATCCAAACAAAGGGCCTCCCTCTTTCTCAGCAAATATTCTCAATTCTCTGTTCTACTCTCTCTGAAGCCCTTCCCCTTGGATGCCTACCAGTTTCCCATCATCTGTGTTACTGCAGTGGCCTCTGGTCTTTCACTAGTGTCACTTTCCCTTCTAATGCAAACACTGCTGTGCTTTCCTAGCTCCTATTTATTGTTCCACATTCTGCAAGACCTTGAGGAAACGGGAAAATTCCTTAGCATGGGAGAGAAAGACCTACACCAATGTCTACAGCCATACTTCTGATTCTCAACAAGGATCCTAAGTTCCTAACATCCAGCCTGATCCTCACTTGCCCCACCAGGGCAAGGAGCCTGTTCTGGGTACCTGTGCCCACACCCTGCAGGCCCATTGGCCACCAATGGCCCCTAAGGACCAACATTACTGTGGGGGGCAGTAGGGACACCAGCTAAAATGCTCTAGAACCTACACATCTTGCAGATTCTATGTGCTGACTGAAATGACCAATTCTTTATAAAGAAGGACTTAGTAAGTACATGACCCTTGCACACACACACGGAACAGAATGGTCTCTTCCCTGACTTTCTGTCTTCAAACAATGTCACCTTACATAGAAGGACTTCTAATATCGACGTATGCATAAATAGTCAATTTGTGAACTGCCATACAAATGAAAAACAAGATATTAATTTTTCAAACAAATGAAATTTAAGTAAAAAATTTTAATTTATAACTTCAATGACTCATGTAAAAGGTAACAAATCATGCAACATCTTTATCCCATTTTATGGGTGGGAAATGAGCTACAAAGGGTTAACAACTTGCTCCAGGTTCATTTCAAGGAAGGGAAACCAAAACCTACTAAGAGTATCCTCCTTTTTAAAATTTTCAGAGAATTTTGATGTCTTGGTATGACTAAAGGCAAACTAAAACAAACTTACTTTTTGCTTGCCTCACAGACGTCAGTAATATTGGAAAAAAGATGGTGACTCTCTGTTTTGGTCATCGTATCACTCAGTTCTTTAGAATTTTTAAACATACGTATCAAGATCTCCAAGCTGAGTAAATATGAATGCTCAGAGGATATGACTTCAAAGATAGCCTGGGAAGAAGGAAAAAAAATGTGTTATTACATCTTCTAACTGAAGAACAAAATATAGCACTCATAATTCCAGTATAAGAACATAATGGCAGACTATATTGAAAAATATAAAAAAAATAAGCATTAAGAAATGTACATATAAGGCACATATATTCAAAATCTCAAAACTAGAACCAAGAGCTATACTATAAATATGAAAAAGATGCATGGCATGACTTGAGATGACATGCAGAAGTCAATCTCTACCAAGGATGGAGTCTATGCTAGGAAACCAGATACAAAATCTCAGTGCAAGGTTAGCTAACCTTTGGATTAACATCTCCTCCAGTCTTTCTTTCAAAGTGCCACTGTTCTGAGACAGTAAAAATTTATGGTCATTGCTTGGGAGTTAGAAGATATTTTTCATAAATACGTTCCATGACTCCCTCTCTTCTGGAATCTTTCTCTCCCTAATTTTAATTAGACCAACTTACACTCAGTGACAGCAAACATGCTGGGTGTATCAGGAAAGCAATATTGAACCTACCTTCAAAAAATTCTTATCAATCACAAGAATTCTTTCATATAAACTCACACCATTGAAAGTCATTCTGTTTGTTCAAGAGCCACCTCTCTGCCCTTGTCAGTGTCTCAAGAAGACATGAAGTACCCACTACAGAAACTGTTGGTGCCAAGCACAAGGTTCGTTAAAGACAAGGGTTCAGTAAAGATGAAATGCCAACCCACATCTGTGGTTGCACACCAACGCCCCTCGTGAGGAATTCACCTAGCTCCCTAACAAAATCAAAGTCAAGGCTTCCAAGAATGGCAAGGTAGGGAGAATTCCTCCCCAGGGAGGGGTGGTGAATACCTTAGGATGCCTGCACAGCCTCTCTGGAGCCCTCCAAATTACCCTGCTATCATCAGCCTGGCCTCAGGCCTGCTTCCTGTAAGCCTGCAGCCCAAAGAACACAGAGAACTTTCTCAAAAGTCCTTGTGCTGTGGCTGAGGTCAGGTGGGAGCTAGCTGCTAGCGTACAGGAAGGCAAACACCCAGCTGCTGGGGTGGGCCATACTTGTAAATCAGACTATGACGCTAATCTCAGCACCTAGCTCCCTTGTTAGCATCCACGAGCATTTAGGGAAATCTTAATTAAATGAGCTAATCTAGCCTCAGAGGCGCTCCAGAAACTGATGTGTTATAATCACCTGCAGAGAAAAGAGTAGAAACACTGTCTTATTTAACCTACATCAAGTAATTCTAGAAATCAATACTATTATTTCCAGGTATATAATGGCAACTAACAAATATTCCCCCTACTTACGAAAAAGAAAACATTTCAGGTCGTTGATGGATATTTTAAAACATTTTCTAAAGGAAAAGCTTTAATAATAAAATCCAAAATGTTAAGACTGGGACAGGTGAAACTAAAGAGAATAGGTCATATGAAAAGACAAATAGGTGGTAGTAGCTTAATATAAGTTTAATGCAATAACTCTTAAGCATCTTTCAACAGAGCCATCAACTACTTCAAAGTAAATCAGGTTAACTCTGCTAAAAGTAAAAGGAGCAGAAAGGAGCCATAAAGTGAGATTCGTTCTTATCATTACTTTTTGCTGTAACAAATCTGGACAAATATTTTCAAAACATAAGGGAAATAAAATAAATTCAAGAGACAAGGTTCAAAAGAACAGAAAAGCTCAAATTCGATTAGAACATTAAAGAAGCTCTTGAAAATATCCAGAAACAAGGACAAATATTGTTTATGCCACAATGTTAACAATAAAGAAAAAAATATATACTCCCTTCTCTCCATCATTAGGAGAACAGATTTAGAAAAAAAAAAATGGTATAAAATGAATACTTAGAATGGCTTGAATGGTCTAGATTAATCCATGGCATTTGCATGGATAAATCTCAAAATGCTGAATGTAAAAGCTATGCAACCAGAGAATGCCAAAGTCATATCATTTATCTATATTTTAATACGCACACTAATATGTGTGTGTGTGTGTGTGTGTGTGTGT